GAAACGTTGCTTTGTTGCTTGAGTTTAAAGAACATTTTCTATGTCTCTGTGAAGAAGGCCCGAATCTGCTTTGATCTTTCCAACTAGGAACCCCTCAAAGAACGAAATCCACTTCTCACTGTGTCCTATACACCGATTTTGAACAGACGCCCCTTCATAACTCTAATCCTTTTGTACTTCGTCCCCTAAAAAATAGTTCAGTGAGAAAGAGAAGAGCGTCAAAATGTGTATACGCTGACTCAATTAGTGTGAAGTAGACGCTGTCTCCAATGTCCAACTTGTGATTGGCTGTTTCTCGGGCTCTCCATTATGAATGTACATCAAGAACTCAAACATCAAGCGTATTGGATTTGTCAGATGTAGACCGGCGCTGCACGACAAATTCTCCGCCATTTCTAAACGGTTATTGTAGTGGCTTTCTGCGGTTTCAGGTAGGTGGGATTTCGCTGGCTCGTGCTCAAGTGGACTTCATTCACAAAAGCGCGGTGGAGAATAATTAGCTGCAATTTGTTTGTTTGCTACGTGGCCGCTGTTTGATTAAGGGTCGTCCGGACGGCGGCATCTATGTATCTTTGCGTGCAGCGTCAGTTGAATCTTCCGTTGTGTGTACACGGAAAGGACAATATGAAATGGAAGGTTAGAAAGGATGATGTTTCCTCCAGAAACGCTCGGAGCTGCAGAACATGAATCTGATGCAGCCACGAGAAACTGTCAATGAAACGGAATGCAGTTTCGCTTGTTAGTGTTCTTTATATAACTTCCTTAACTCATGCTATCTGAGATTTTACAACAGATGCTTCAACTAAACAGTCGCATTGAATACAACAGTGGTACATTATTTTCACAGAGATGAAACCAGTGGATAAGTAAAAAATACTAAGGCGATGTATAAAAGCGAACCAAATTATTGGACAAATTGTATAAATATTGAACAGTAAACACGTTTTAATTTAAAATAAATAAATTGTTAGAGAAAATAAATATTCTTTATAATACAATCTTCTGACTTGCTCTATGCTATTATTGGCACATTAAGACAATGGCAAGGAAAACAGGAAACAATATTACGTAGATAAGATTCATCAGAAGAGCGCTTGAGATCAGAAGGGGAAAATTTATAAAATCAGTAAGAAACAAAATGAAGGTGCTTAACAGCCTATATTTTATTTTAGAAAACAACTGAAATGGTTCGGTCATTTAACTTGGCTGCCAACAGAGAGTGCACAATGACAAGCAATGATGTGCAGAACAAGCCGAGGTCCAACAGAGAGTGCACGATAACAAGCAATGATGTGCAGAACAAGCCGAGATCCAACAGAGAGTGCACGATAACAAGCAATGATGTGCACAACAAGCCGAGATCCAACAGAGAGTGCACGATAACAAGCAATGATGTGTACAACAAGCCGAGATCCAACAGAGAGTGCACGATAACAAGCAATGATGTGCAGAACAAGCCGAGATCCAACAGAGAGTGCACGATAACAAGCAATGATGTGCAGAACAAGCCGAGATCCAACAGAGAGTGCACGATAACAAGCAATGATGTGTACAACAAGCCGAGATCCAACAGAGAGTGCACGATAACAAGCAATGATGTGCAGAACAAGCCGAGATCCAACAGAGAGTGCACGATAACAAGCAATGATGTGCAGAACAAGCTAAGATCCAACAGAGAGTGCACAATAACAAGCAATGATGAGCAGAACAAGCTAAGATCCAACAGAGAGTGCACAATAACAAGCAATGATGAGCAGAACAAGCTAAGATCCAACAGAGAGTGCACGATAACAAGCAATGATGAGCAGAACAAGCCGAGATCCAACAGAGAGTGCACGATAACAAGCAATGATGTGCAGAACAAGCCGAGGTCCAACAGAGAGTGCACGATAACAAGCAATGATGTGCAGAACAAGCCGACATCCAACAGAGAGTGCACGATAACAAGCAATGATGTGCACAACAAGCCGAGATCCAACAGAGAGTGCACGATAACAAGCAATGATGTGTACAACAAGCCGAGATCCAACAGAGAGTGCACGATAACAAGCAATGATGTGCAGAACAAGCCGAGATCCAACAGAGAGTGCACGATAACAAGCAATGATGTGCAGAACAAGCTAAGATCCAACAGAGAGTGCACAATAACAAGCAATGATGAGCAGAACAAGCTAAGATCCAACAGAGAGTGCACGATAACAAGCAATGATGAGCAGAACAAGCCGAGATCAAACAGAGAGTGCACGATAACAAGCAATGATGAGCATAACAAGCCGAGATCCAAAAGACAATGCACGATAACAAGTAATGATGTGCAGAACAAGCCGAGATCCAACAGAGAGTGCACGACAACAAGCAATGATGTGCAGAACAAGCTAAGATCCAACAGAGAGTGCACAATAACAAGCAATGATGAGCAGAACAAGCTAAGATCCAACAGAGAGTGCACGATAACAAACAATGATGAGCAGAACAAGCCGAGATCAAACAGAGAGTGCACGATAACAAGCAATGATGAGCAGAACAAGCCGAGATCAAACAGAGAGTGCACGATAACAAGCAATGATGAGCATAACAAGCCGAGATCCAAAAGACAATGCACGATAACAAGTAATGATGTGCAGAACATGCCGAGATCCAAAAGAGAGTGCACGATAACGAGCAATGATGTGCAGAACAAGCCGAGATCCAAAAGAGAGTGCACGATAACGAGCAATGATGAGCAGAACATGCCGAGATCCAAAAGACAATGCACGATAACAAGCCATGATGTGCAGAACAAGCCGAGATCCAAAAGACAATGCACGATAACAAGCAATGGTGTGCAGAACAAGCCGAGATCCAAAAGACAATGCACGATAACAAGTAATGGTGTGCAGAACAAGCCGAGATCCAAAAGACAATGCACGATAACAAGTAATGGTGTGCAGAACAAGCCGAGATCCAAAAGACAATGCACGATAACAAGTAATGGTGTGCAGAACAAGCCGAGATCCAAAAGACAATGCACGATAACAAGCAATGGTGTGCAGAACAAGCCGAGATCCAAAAGACAATGCACGATAACAAGTAATGGTGTGCAGAACAAGCTGAGATCCAAAAGACAATGCACGATAACAAGTAATGGTGTGCAGAACATGCCGAGATCCGACAGAGAGGCTCACCTTGCAAACAATAGACAGAGGGGGAAAACAGACGTCATTAGGAATCCCAATTCCAGTCTCGCTGTTGGTATTCCACATCAACGACGCAAGCTGTAAGGGAATCTAGAGGGGAGAGCATATTATGTTGCATCTTAAACCATTGAGTTGTTTTGTTTCTGTTCTTGGTCACGCAGCTGCGAAGGCTTCAATAATTAACTCACTGCCACAAAAGGGGTGAAGTCAGGGCTGCCGAACGTTGACCCGCCGCTGGCAAAAGGTCGGCTAATCATTTTGGCTCGTCCTGGCCAGAAAACTGTAGTCGGCACTCGACATTCGTTAACAAGTTAAAGGTGACAACATCACCAATGCAAACAGCATCGCCTCACTACAGAGATCACTAGTCTTCACTGTTAAAAGTTAGTTGCAGATCCTTTACAGGACGGTGCAGAACCAACCCCAGTATTTTGTGGCTGTTGTGATTTTCTATGAAAATGTTACGTTTAGTAGTTTGCCATTGCCTCCTAACGGTTAGTATCTCAAAACCACTGCCGAAACCAACGCTAGACAAATCGTGTGCATCTGGGTTCGAACCCGGCACCCCAGCATTCTTAGTTCTATTCTGGGCAATGTTTAATATCATGGAGGGAAAGCTAGTCCAGCAGCTTTGGCCTCTCTTATCAGCATTAATTTTAGGGTTTCCTTTGGGCGTCGTCGACTCCCTTATCCCTTTTTTCCCTTTTCAATAGCTGTTTGTGATTCTATGCTGGCATCTTCTCCACGATCTGTCCAGTACAGCGCCGTCATTAGTAGTAGTAGTAGTAGTAGTAGTAGTAGTAGTAGTAGCAGTAGCAGTAGCAGTAGTAGTAGTAGTAGTAGTAGTAGTAGTAGATTTTTACCCCACCAGGACATCACACAAGCGATAAACACCCGATGACACAAAGTACCACCATGTGGATTAGGATCACCCGTGGAGAGGTCCTAGAAACCGCGTTCAGAAATTAGACCATATTTTTGGCCGGGCTATATTGCGGCCCCTGGCAAGAGCCAGGGTGAGGCTTCAAAACTGCATCTCGTAAGGAGATGGCTGGATATGTTCAGCACCGTCATTGATTGCGGTGCTTTATATAGTGTATGTTAGAATCAGTTATGTGGACAAACCGCTTCACCTGTGGTTTGCTAATGAAATCTAGCGCTGCTAACACTATCATTTTATTGACACTGTCCCTGGTTGATATTTTGATTCTCTCCTGTCAGGTGTAATTTTTCTCTCCTCCTGTACTCTCATACTCCATGACCGGAATTAACAGCATTAAATTAGTAGGGAGATTATGTTATAGAGTCCTCTTTTCAAATTATAATACACATTTGTGTTCTCAGTAAAAGTGTTCTCAGTATTAGTGTTCTCAGTATTTGTGTTCTCAGTATTTGTGTTCTCAGTATTTGTGTTCTCAGTATTTGTGTTCTCAGTATTTGTGTTCTCAGTATTAGTTTTCTCAGTATTAGTGTTCTCAGTATTAGTTTTCTCAGTATTAGTGTTCTCAGTATTTGTGTTCTCAGTATTAGTGTTCTCAGTATTTGTGTTCTCAGTATTTGTGTTTTCAGTATTTGTGTTCTGAGTATTTGTGTTCTCAGTATTTGTGTTCTCAGTATTTGTGTTCTCAGTATTAGTGTTCTCAGTATTTGTGTTCTCAGTATTTGTGTTCTCAGTATTTGTGTTCTCAGTATTTGTGTTCTCAGTATTTGTGTTCTCAGTATTTGTGTTCTCAGTATTTGTGTTCTCAGTATTTGTGTTCTCAGTATTTGTGTTCTCAGTATTTGTGGTCTCAGTATTTGTGGTCTCAGTATTTGTGTTTTCAGTATTAGTGTTCTCAGTATTTGTGTTCTCAGTATTTGTGGTCTCAGTATTTGTGTTCTCAGTATTTGTGTTTTCAGTATTAGTGTTCTCAGTATTTGTGTTCTCGGTATTTGTGTTCTCAGTATTAGTGTTCTCAGTATTAGTGTTCTCAGTATTTGTGTTCTCAGTATTTGTGTTCTCAGTATTTGTGTTCTCAGTAATAGTGTTCTCAGTATTTGTGTTCTCAATATCTGTGTTCTCAGTAATAGTGTTCTCAGTAATAGTGTTCTCAGTATTTGTGTTCTCAGTATTTGTGTTCTCAGTAATAGTGTTCTCAGTATTTGTGTTCTCAGTAATAGTGTTCTCAGTATTTGTGTTCTCAGTAATAGTGTTCTCAGTATTTGTGTTCTCAGTAATAGTGTTCTCAGTATTTGTGTTCTCAGTAATAGTGTTCTCAGTATTTGTGTTCTCATTAATAGTGTTCTCAGTATTTGTGTTCTCAATATCTGTGTTCTCAGTATTTGTGTTCTCAGTATCTGTGTTCTCAGTATTTGTGTTCTCAGTATCTGTGTTCTCAGTATTAGTGTTCTCAGTATCTGTGTTCTCAGTATTTATGTTCTCAGTATCTGTGTTCTCAGTATTTGTGTTCTCAGTATCTGTGTTCTCAGTATTAGTGTTCTCAGTATTTGTGTTCTCAGTATTTGTGTTCTCAGTATTTGTGTTCTCAGTAATAGTGTTCTCAGTATTTGTGTTCTCAATATCTGTGTTCTCAGTAATAGTGTTCTCAGTAATAGTGTTCTCAGTATTTGTGTTCTCAGTATTTGTGTTCTCAGTAATAGTGTTCTCAGTATTTGTGTTCTCAGTAATAGTGTTCTCAGTATTTGTGTTCTCAGTAATAGTGTTCTCAGTATTTGTGTTCTCAGTAATAGTGTTCTCAGTATTTGTGTTCTCAGTAATAGTGTTCTCAGTATTTGTGTTCTCATTAATAGTGTTCTCAGTATTTGTGTTCTCAATATCTGTGTTCTCAGTATTTGTGTTCTCAGTATCTGTGTTCTCAGTATTTGTGTTCTCAGTATCTGTGTTCTCAGTATTAGTCTTCTTCTTCTTCTTCGCGTTCACCAGCTGTAAACTCTGGCGGAAGGTTCTGGTTGCTCGTCCACTACTGAACTGCAGTCCTGCTCCAGAACCTGAGTGTTGCGTGTGCATCAGTTTTACAGATCTCATTCTCTTGAATACAGACTGTTGGTTCCTTGCCTCTCCGGCAGATGCACTCCGACTTCAAAGGAAGCTCCCCAATTAGTCGACTCTTACGACATGCTTTTGGGGAGGCAGTGGGTCTATTCTTGTTTTCCCCACAATGGGGCCCCGGAACCCACACGGGGGTCAGTATTAGTGTTCTCAGTATCTGTGTTCTCAGTATTTGTGTTCTCAGTATCTGTGTTCTCAGTATTAGTGTTCTCAGTATCTGTGTTCTCAGTATTTGTGTTCTCAGTATCTGTGTTCTCAGTATTTGTGTTCTCAGTATCTGTGTTCTCAGTATTTGTGTTCTCAGTATCTGTGTTCTCAGTATTTGTGTTCTCAATATTAGTGTTTTCAGTGTTAGCGTTCTGAGTATTTGTGTTCTCAGTATTTGTGTTCTCAGTATTTGTGTTCTCAGTATTTGTGTTCTCAGTATTTGTGTTCTCAGTATTTGTGTTCTCAGTATTTGTGTTCTCAGTATTTGTGTTCTCAGTATTTGTGTTCTCAGTATTTGTGTTCTTGGTAATTGTGTTCTCGGTATTTGTGTTCTCAGTATTTGTGTTCTCGGTATTTGTGTTCTCAGTATTTGTGTTCTCAGTATTTGTGTTCTCAGTATTTGTGTTCTCAATATTAGTGTTTTCAGTGTTAGCGTTCTGAGTATTTGTGTTCTCAGTATTTGTGTTCTCAGTATTTGTGTTCTCAGTATTTGTGTTCTCAGTATTTGTGTTCTCAGTATTTGTGTTCTCAGTATTTGTGTTCTCAGTATTTGTGTTCTCAGTATTTGTGTTCTCGGTAATTGTGTTCTCGGTATTTGTGTTCTCAGTAATAGTGTTCTCAGTATTTGTGTTCTCGGTAATAGTGTTCTCGGTATTTGTGTTCTCAGTATTTGTGTTCTCAGTATTTGTGTTCTCAGTATTTGTGTTCTCAGTATTTGTGTTCTCAGTATTTGTGTTCTCAGTATTTGTGTTCTCGGTAATAGTGTTCTCAGTATTTGTGTTCTCAGTATCTGTGTTCTCGGTAATTGTGTTCTCAGTATTTGTGTTCTCATTAATAGTGTTATCAGTATTAGTGTTCTCAGTATGTGTGTTCTCAGTATTTGTGTTCTTAAAATAAGTGTTCTCAATAATAGTGTTCTCAGTATTTGTGTTCTTAAAATAAGTGTTCTCAAAAATAGTGTTCTCAGTAATAGTGTTCTCAGTATTTGTGTTCTCAGTAATAGTGTTCTCAGTATTTGTGTTCTCAGTAATAGTGTTCTCAGTATTTGTGTTCTCATTAATAGTGTTCTCAGTATTTGTGTTCTCAATATCTGTGTTCTCAGTATTTGTGTTCTCAGTATCTGTGTTCTCAGTATTTGTGTTCTCACTATTTGTGTTCTTAATATTAGTGTTTTCAGTATTAGCGTTCTGAGTATTTGTGTTTTCAGTATTAGTGTTCTCAGTATTTGTGTTCTCAGTATTTGTGTTCTCAGTATTTGTGTTCTCAGTATTTGTGTTCTCAGTATTTGTGTTCTCAGTATTTGTGTTCTCAGTATTTGTGTTCTCAGTATTTGTGTTCTCGGTAATTGTGTTCTCGGTATTTGTGTTCTCAGTAATAGTGTTCTCAGTATTTGTGTTCTCGGTAATAGTGTTCTCGGTATTTGTGTTCTCAGTATTTGTGTTCTCAGTATTTGTGTTCTCAGTATTTGTGTTCTCAGTATTTGTGTTCTCAGTATTTGTGTTCTCAGTATTTGTGTTCTCGGTAATAGTGTTCTCAGTATTTGTGTTCTCAGTATCTGTGTTCTCGGTAATTGTGTTCTCAGTATTTGTGTTCTCATTAATAGTGTTATCAGTATTAGTGTTCTCAGTATGTGTGTTCTCAGTATTTGTGTTCTTAAAATAAGTGTTCTCAATAATAGTGTTCTCAGTATTTGTGTTCTCAGTAATAGTGTTCTCAGTATTTGTGTTCTCAGTAATAGTGTTCTCAGTATTTGTGTTCTTAAAATAAGTGTTCTCAATAATAGTGTTCTCAGTATTTGTGTTCTCAGTAATAGTGTTCTCAGTATTTGTGTTCTCATTAATAGTGTTCTCAGTATTTGTGTTCTCAGTATTTGTGTTCTCAAAATAAGTGTTCTCAATAATAGTGTTCTCAGTATTTGTGTTCTCAGTAATAGTGTTCTCAGTATTTGTGTTCTTAAAATAAGTGTTCTCAAAAATAGTGTTCTCAGTATTTGTGTTCTCAGTAATAGTGTTCTCAGTATTTGTGTTCTCATTAATAGTGTTCTCAGTATTTGTGTTCTCAATATCTGTGTTCTCAGTATTTGTGTTCTCAGTATCTGTGTTCTCAGTATTAGTGTTCTCAGTATTTGTGTTCTCAGTATTTGTGTTCTCAGTATTTGTGTTCTCAGTATTTGTGTTCTCAGTATTTGTGTTCTCAGTATTTGTGTTCTCAGTATTTGTGTTCTCGGTAATAGTGTTCTCAGTATTTGTGTTCTCAGTATCTGTGTTCTCGGTAATTGTGTTCTCAGTATTTGTGTTCTCATTAATAGTGTTATCAGTATTAGTGTTCTCAGTATGTGTGTTCTCAGTATTTGTGTTCTTAAAATAAGTGTTCTCAATAATAGTGTTCTCAGTATTTGTGTTCTCAGTATTTGTGTTCTCAGTATTAGTGTTCTCAGTATTTGTGTTCTCAGTATTTGTGTTCTCAGTATTTGTGTTCTCAGTATTTGTGTTCTCAGTATTAGTGTTCTCAGTATTTGTGTTCTCAGTATTTGTGTTCTCAGTATTTGTGTTCTCAGTATTTGTGTTCTCAATATCTGTGTTCTCAGTATTTGTGTTCTCAGTATCTGTGTTCTCAGTATTTGTGTTCTCACTATTTGTGTTCTTAATATTAGTGTTTTCAGTATTAGCGTTCTGAGTATTTGTGTTTTTAGTATTAGTGTTCTCAGTATTTGTGTTCTCAGTATTTGTGTTCTCAGTATTTGTGTTCTCAGTATTTGTGTTCTCAGTATTTGTGTTCTCAGTATTTGTGTTCTCAGTATTTGTGTTCTCAGTATTTGTGTTCTCGGTAATTGTGTTCTCGGTATTTGTGTTCTCAGTAATAGTGTTCTCAGTATTTGTGTTCTCGGTAATAGTGTTCTCGGTATTTGTGTTCTCAGTATTTGTGTTCTCAGTATTTGTGTTCTCAGTATTTGTGTTCTCAGTATTTGTGTTCTCAGTATTTGTGTTCTCAGTATTTGTGTTCTCGGTAATAGTGTTCTCAGTATTTGTGTTCTCAGTATCTGTGTTCTCGGTAATTGTGTTCTATTATCGATATTGGTTTTTTTCCCTCCTCATTGCCTGTTTACTGGCATTACTCTTTCTAGGCATTTGAAGTTGTTTGCTTGTTGCAGATGGTGTTATGTAAGTTTCTTTATTTAGCGTTTTTTTTTTTTTTTTAATTATCATTATCTCTGTTTTATTGGTATTTATTTTTATTGTTTATTTAACTCGTGTATGTAGTCTGAGAGAAAATTAAGGCTTAATGTCCGTCAAAACTAGCCCTTTGTTGATGTTGCAGACTATTTATAGTTTGATCATTATTTCTAGCCCAGGAAAGATGTAAACTTGCCCATTGGCAGACAAGAAAATAAGATCTTTCTCTGAGTTAAAGCAGTATCTTGAAGTGAATGCTAATGAAGCAGCCAGCTGAAGTAGGACACATTAAAAATCATACGTGTGTTAAACATTCGCCGTCTACACACAATGAATTCCCTGCATCTCGATACAATGTTTACTTTGTGTATCATTCACAACTTGTACGTATTCATTCTCAATCTCCTTGTTTGTTAACTGTTGTTTGTCAACGGAAGAAGGTCTAGCTCAAGTTCCGCGTAAATGTGTTTAACACTGAGTAAAGTCCCCGCCTTCTGTACTCACAGTATAATTGCCACATAAGATACGACTGTACTAGGAGTAGGTACACCGCTGAATTAGAGTACCCAGGAAACATCTTCAACACCTGAGACGCCTTCAAAGGCTTTTGTTATTTGGGGGGCATCAAAGCACCCAGGGACGGCTGACGTTACAAATCATTGGCGGAACACACAGTGTCGAGATCGTCTTCCGGGAGCGGCTTGAACAGTATAATAGCACTAGACTTCTCAACCACATCAGCATACAAAGATGGATTTCATTGGCTGAGTACTTCTTCCCACCACCACCTTCCTCCTTTCCCAGGCTCTTTATGTCCTCAACAAGGCAGTGGCACCGGAGGTTATTTAAATTAGTTGTGTATTCTTTGACGAAGTTCTATCACAGAGAAAAACAAATTTCTAATGCTATATATAGAGCCAGTTTTAACAGACCGAAAAAGTAGAATACATAGACCAGATCCGATCAGACAGCCTGGTAGCATATACTGATGGGTCAAAGAACGAAACAGGAGAAGTAGGAGCAGGAGTAATTATCCCTCAGTGGGAAATGCAAAGAGAATATAAAATAACAGATCATGTGGCAGTATGCACAGGAGAACTAGTCGGCATAATGAAGGCACTAGAGATGGTAATAAATAAACCTCCAACAAAATTTACTATACTGACAGATTCGCTGTCTTCAGTGCAGACGTTAAAAACTCATAAAACAAGCAGTAGACCAGATATAAAAGGAAAGATTTTTAACCTGACAACCCAGCTCAAGAATAAAGGATGCCAAGTCACCATTGCATGGGTACCAGCACATAGAGGTGTAATGGGCAATGAGAAAGTTGACCAAGCTGCCAAAAAGGGAGGTAAATGAGATGCTGTAGTAGAAGTAGGACTTGGAAAAACTGAAAGAATAGCATAATTAAAAGACATATAATTAAAACGTGGAAATTCCAATGGCAGATGAGCACTAATGGCAGATGAGCACTAATGGCAGATGAGCACTAATGGCAGATGAGCACTAATGGCAGATGAGCACTAATGGCAGATGAGCACTAATGGCAGATGAGCACTAATGGCAGATGAGCACTAATGGCAGATGAGCACTAATGGCAGATGAGCACTAATGGCAGATGAGCACTAATGGCAAAGATGCATACAACAACCTTAAAGAACCTTTTTTTTTTTTCTTTTAAAGTGTTTATTGTTTCAAAACATCAGATACCAATTCTCTTTACAAAACAAAAGCAACATCAATAAGGTGATGTGCAAAAAATGATGATGATTCGTACCGTTTCTCACCAACCTTTAACAGGAAATAGAGACAGTGGGAGGCAGAGAGGTTCGGAGTTTGAGGAAAGCTGGGGCTATTGGGTTTGTTGGCGGAAACGGTACTTTCGATGGTAATGTTTTACATTTTGAGAAATATATTTATATACCACAGAAGAATGAGAGGGCACGGAAACATGGCAACATATATACAAGCGTCTGCGGTGTGCGTATTTTGTTCAGTGTACTTTACATATGTTGCCGTTTGTTAGAATTCAGTGTTGCAAACGTGTGTGTGACATTGCGAACATAAAAACAAATAAGAAATAGAAAGGGGACGAAAACATAGCAG